CTTTCTGACATCTGAAGGACGTTATAAATCAGGAAGAGAACCAGGACGAGGTGACTGATGTGTTGTCCCCGAGAGAAATTGTTATTCTCTTATGTCATAGAGACATAAAAGCAGCAATAACATCAGTGACATATATTCTTATTTTTCAGTTAAATCCTATAAATGAGCTGATGTGTAAATCTGTGATGGTACGATAAAAACTCGAACATCAGCTGCTGCAGCTCAACATTGATTGTGTGATATTTGCCTGAAGGTAAACATTCTGTTCCAGAACTAATATGCAAATGAGTTCAGTCATAAAGGTTTATGAGTTTGTCAAGGACCGAAGATCAGTAACTCGACACTTAAAGTGAAGTTTCTACAAGTCGTAAAATGAGAGCGAGCCATAAATCACAACACTGTCACCCTGAAGATTTGCAGCTTCTGCTCCATGCCACGGTTGTGCATTTCTACAGTCTCAGTTAAAATGTTTGAGTCTCGATTGGTGTGCACTATTTGTGAGTGTTCTTGTCTTATGAAGTTTTTGGGTTTCTGTTTATTTATTATAGGGATGATTTTTGCAGGTGTAGGGAACAGCTGTTGGTGAATCTTTATGATGCCAGTGAACTGACGTCAGTATTTGTGCTAAACGTTGCTCTCGCTTATCATTTTTGGTGTTACAACCCAAAACTCAGTGCACATAAGCTCTCACTCAATGTATCGGTGTTTAATCCATGGATGTTTACCTGTATGACCCAAGCGGGCAGTGTAGAGTACCAGTATTCTCTCTCGGGCCAACACGGAGATGCTGATGCATGCTTTTATTACCAGTCGCATTGATTACTGTAATGCCCTGCTCTCTGGTCTTCCTAAGAAGAATATTTCAACTTTACAACTCTTGCAAAACTCGGCAGCTCGTGTGCTGACGAAGACCAGAGGGCGGGCCCACATTACACCGGTTTTAGAATCGCTGCACTGGCTCCCCGTGTGTTTCAGGATCGATTTTAAAGTTCTTTTATTGGTTTTTAAATGTCTTAATGGTCTTGGGCCTTCTTATCTCTCAGATCTGCTTTTACCATACGAACCCTCGCGGACCCTGAGGTCCTCTGGTACTGGCCTTTTGATTGTACCTAAAGTCAGGACACATACTCACGGAGAGGCAGCTTTTCAGTGGTATGGTCCTCGTCTGTGGAACAGCCTGCCGGAGGAGCTCAGGGCCGCAGAGAACGTACATGTTTTTAAGAACAGGCTCAAGACCCACCTTTTTAATTTAGCTTTTACTTAGCATTTATTTATTTTATGCTTATTTATTCTATCCTGTTATTCTATTATTAATTTAGGATTTACCTAATATTTGCTTGATTTTATTCTTATTCATTTTTTAATCTTCTTATTCTATTTATATTGTATCCTGTTCTTATTTATTTTATCATTTTACCCTATATATATCGTATTGCATCATATCTCCAGTGTTTCCTCGGAGGGCACTCTCTGCACCGGGGCTGTGATTGACCGTGGCTGCTGGGTCTCTGGGGTCCTCTCAGCCTGGCTGGGGGGCTCCTTTGCCTCCCTCCTGCTGTGTGCCCAGCCTGGAGGCTGCGGTCTGTGACCGGCTCCCGGTGCAGACGGCTCCCTGTTATAGTGTTTCCTCACTTGGCTCATGCGAGTCCAGCCCAATTTTTACTCTTTAAGTGTGCGCGTATGTGTGTGGGTGGGGGGGATATATGTGTATTGAGAGTGTGGGGAGTGAGTTGGAGGGTGGGGTGGGCTGCTTTTAACTATGTAAAGCACTTTGTGCTACATTTTCTTTGTATGAAAAGTGCTTTATAAATAAAGATTGATTGATTGATTGATTGATTGATTGATTGATTGATTGAAAAACTGAAACTCCTTTAGTGGACACTTGAGGCTGGCTCCAAAAGTGAGTTGATTCCTATAGACTTCCACATTAAAATGTCCAACAGCAGAAATATATTTATTTACAACCTGCTACAAAAAAAATGCATTTTTCCTTTGTGGATAGTTCCGTCCTTTAAAAAACAGCCTGAAGGGAGAATTTTTATAACATCAATGTCTTGTCCGAATATGGTTACTCCTGGTTTCAAAAGGAAACAACATGATGGCTGACAAAAGGCTAACATTGAACATCCAAACACACAGATGATGTAACAATGTGTGACTTTTATTTACGGTCCATATAGTTATTGAGTTATTGGAAGAAAAGCCTGTTCTTTGGTTCTTGGTTGGAGAATAAAAATACGTTGACCATATAAAAAGGGAAAATCGACTTCTGCACTTTATTTGAAGCATTTTTTCCAGCTTCAGGCGGAGCAATACTCCATCACAAACTAATTTTATAGCTGCGGATTAATTAAATGCATCGAAAGCCTTATAGACATTGAATGAATTCCTGCCCTTGTTTGAGGTTTCTTTAGGGAGGACAGAGGACCTCCAGCATGATCGTTCTGACACTTACGAGCTGTTATGCTTCATGTTGAAATATGTGTGGTCTGCGAGCAGTGACATTCAAACCAGCAAACACTCAGTTGCTTCATAACAGGAACTTGAGTCTTAATGAAGACAATGCCGACTTTGTTTTTTACTGAGCAAACCGCAGCAGTATTGTGACGCTGGGTTCAAAAGAATTCTGTAATGATATGACTATAAATCTCAGTATATGTACACAGTTTGTTTGCTTAATCGTTGCTTAATATTGCTATTTTTTGAAATGCATGTTAATAAACCACAGAGGCTAGCTTGGAATGGAGCTACAAACTAATGGAGGCTAGAAGAATAAAAGGCTCGTGCTGCACTAAATACAAACTGTAAACAGGTGACTTCCTGTGAACGCTCATTCAGTGGATGTGCTTCAGTCTTGTCTACGGCCCTTGTATTTCCACAAATTTGGTAAATCCTTTAAGCCTCAAAATATTTTTCCAGTGGAAAATCTTTCTCAGTTTCTGCCAGTAACAGCTTCTTACCTGTAGACGAAGAATATAAAGAGCCTCGGGCTCTGTGGATAAGAGACATCATTTCTAAATGATTTTAAAAGTCAAAAGTAAGTCACCTTGCCCTGATATCTAGACATGACAAATCAGAGCTCATCGTGAAATTTTAATTCCACCTAATCACCATGATAAATAGAGCATGAATAATAATTATGAGTCAGTGACACAGATGTTAGTGCATCTGTTTAAAAGTTCATCAGTTAAACTCTAAGGAATTTTGGGCAACAGTAAAAATAAACACAGATGAAAACAAAGGCCAGAGCTGAAGAACTGAGGCCATGACACTGCACTTTAATGTGCCTGCACACTGCAGCTCTCACACAAAAGGATGGCTGCCTCCTCGTGACTTGGAGAGAAATGCGTGATTGTACCACATTTTTATTTTTTCTACTGTCAGGGACTGATTGCAAGTAGCTGCAGCGACCGATTGGTTGCCCAGGCGATGAAGATATTGCACTTTTAATCACAAGGCAACATGTCTCCAAACAACTGTGTCCCGACCAGTGTTGGTCAAGTTACTTGAAAAAAGTAATCAGTAACTAATTACTGATTACTTCCCCAAAAAAGTAATCCCGTTACTTTACTGATTACTTATTTTCAAAAGTAATTAATTACTTAGTTACTTAGTTACTTTTTAAAAACACGATTTACAACCTGAAGAGGTGATAAAGCGATAGATCTTTCAGCCCAATTCTACTTTTTCTACATAATCCATCATACAAAATGTAATCAAATGGAAAAGTCTCTTTTTAACTTGTTTTATCAGTTTTAATCTTTTAACTTTATGCATCAAGCAAAAATTTAATTATATGCAACATTCTCTGACTGGAAGAAATTAGTTTAACATTTAAACCTATTTTCTGCACATTCCAGCACATAAAATAAAATATTTTTTGTGTTTACACTCACTCTTTCAAATAGATGCAAGTAAAACACAGCAGAAAATAAATAAAGTCAAAGACTCAGCGGTCCTGTTGCTCTATTTTCACCTGTAAAGCAGGACTGGGGTAGGCGGAGGTTTACCCTGGTGCAGGTGTGCCGCGGTCAGTTGAAGAATCCGCGAGTTTCTCTGTGAGTTTCCCATTACGTCGTTGCGCACTCGGTGCTTGCTTGGAAGTTTAGGGGTTTTTTCGCTGTAAAAAGAAGTTTTCTTCCCACGCACAATGGACGCTAATGTTTTTGTCACTTTTTATGGAATCAAACTCAAAGTAAGGTCAGTACTTCCACGCTTTAAACGCTGCACGCTCATACTCTCTCCCACAATCGATATGTGATCCATTGTTGATCTGCAGACAGCTGTTGTCACTAACGGCGCACTCGCTTACGTCACTGTCGTGAGACATTCTCGCAAAAAATCACGGTTTTAGTAACGCAGTAACGCAGCGTTCCTACGGGAAGTAACGGTAATATAATTACCGTTTTTGCAATAGTAATCCCTTACTTTACTCGTTACTTGAAAAAAGTAACCAGATTATACTGCCCATCTCTGGTCCCGACTCAGACTGCCTGAACTCATCGACCACCAACACGCTGCAGTCAACCCAAATCAGTGACTTAATAACTCAGTGACTCAGTCCACCTGGTTGGACTGGATTCACCTGGTTAATATGGTGATATACCTGGTGATATATCTCCATAAAAGCAAAACTGCCGAGCGCCTTTTGTCATTTTGCTCTTAAGTTGCCGTCCCAAAGCAAATGCGCCTCTATTTATTGATGAATTTATATTTTGATTGAATGAGGTTCTGGCAGGACAACAGATTTATGATTTTTTTTAAATCACAGATTGCATGTAATTCCCAAGTTGACCCCATTCAACTGCAAACGGACAGCAGACTGTCTTATTGCTGCGTTATTGCTGTTTTGATTCACCAAAGCTGCTTTGAAGACAACAGCAACTGCGTGTAGTTGCAGACGTGGGTCCTGAATTTGTTACTTTGAGCCTTCCACAGGATTCCTTAGTGTTAAGTTGCCGTGTGTATCGTGTTTGCCACTTCCTGTTTGACTTTGTTAGTCCCTCTCTTGTGCCTTGTCTAAAATTGTACTCGCGGTTTGGCATTTTCCCTGATTGCTTTCACCTGTGCCTCATTTGTGTGTCTGTGTGTTTTGTCATGATGTCTGTCTGACCTCACAGTGTGTCCTTTTTGCCTGTGGAATCTTGGACTTTATTTTGGCTGATTCTTTCTTTTTGTTTCTCAGTCTGCATTTGGGTTGTAATTCTGCAATGCCTGACACTTCAAGAATGAAAATGCAATGCAGATGTAATGTAATGTAGTATAAGGAGGTAAAAATAAGGAATAAAACTGGGTTCTCTTTCAAATGTACAGCAGGGATGCCAAAAGAGTCAGACTCTAAGATAGTTGATAAAGAGCCCGTTTATTTCCAGTCAGAGAATGTCTAACCCCTTAAACCCACCAAAATGTTAATTCTACCAAAATACTGATTTAAAAGTGAAAACGCAGCAGAGGCTCACAGGTCTGCACTCTGCTGTGTAATCTGGCTTTACAGGAGAATTACACCTGTTCACAGCCTGATACAACTAAAGGTAAGATGAGTCTTTTTCAGTAGTTTCAATCTATTTGAGAAGTCTGAAACATTTAGACAATTTTTAAATAAATAAAAGCAATTTAAGATTTAAAAGAGGCATTAAAGGAAAACATTAAAAACATCCTATAAGTACAACAAGGGTTCATGAAATTATTTTTTTATTTATTTTCTAATTTAATATTAAATAAATTAAAAATATCACATTTGATGCAGTAAATGTTAGTATTTTATTAGGTTACTTACCTGATTATTGGGCACTCCACCCCTCTGGCTCCAAAGAACCAAAATCCCATTGACAACAATTATGAGGCTCTAAAATGCAAAGTGTAGAAACCTATGGGTGGTGTCACAAGAACTACATACACCTTTTATATACAGCCAAGACACAGCTGTTTGTCTCCAAGCTATTTGAGGCTGTTGCACAGTACTCAGGCTTTGGGTTCCAACATTGGATCTTTTGCTGTATCAACCTATCCGTCTGCCCTGACCTATATTTGACTGAACACAGACTGACAGATAAATGTACATGTCTTTAAGACATGTTGAGGTTCAGACACCCCTCTGGAACCTTTGTCCTTGATAAGGTGATTCTGGGGATGATGACTATGTGAAGAAATGTCACATGAAACGGCATAAAAACATGCACATCATCAGTGTTTAGCTTTTGGTTCATGAGAAAAAGTTTGGTCTGTGGTTTTTGTGATCAAGTCATCTGTGTCTTACTCAGCAGCATGGTGCGAGAGGAGGAGAGGTCCTTCAAACACACCCGGCACACACCCACAAAATCAGGAATGTGGGGAATGCTGGGAAACAAAGTGGTGGCGTTGGCGCACAGAGAGCAGCCGGATGAATGGAAACCTGAAGGTGAGACGGTGCGTCCACGTCACTTTGCTGATTTGCTGCCTTTTTTGGGTTTTGTTTTGGTGGAACATCTAAATTCCCCAGAGAACAGTTTCCCATGATTATAAAAGCTGCAAGTGACGCAGACTTGTGTTTATTTTCCAGAAAATGCTGTACATGTTTGCTAATGTTGCCAAATTACATGAAATAGCCTCAGTTTAAATTTCCTGGACTGCTAGAGAAAATCTCATTCGTTTTGCAGCTGCAACCTGTTGTCAGTTCAGTTCAGTTTTTTATTAGATTTCATTTGCGTCGATGCTTAACTTTATTTGGCTTTAGGTGGTTTCACTCCACTGGCTTAATGGCTCCACTGGCCATTTTATTAGGTACACCTCTTCACCTGCTCATTTTTTTCATATATCTAATCAGCCAATCACACAGCAGCAACTGCTGCTGCTTTCAGCGTTCATAACTGGAATAATCAGTCGGTACAGTCGAGTTATGCAGAAGAGCATCTCTGAACACACGTGAAATGCAGAAGCAGATGAGCTACAGTAGACCACACTGAGTGCCACTCATGTCGGCTGAGAACAGGAAACTGAGGCTACTCAGACTCTGAGCCTCATTTCGAAACATTCGGATGGTCGGGTCAGATTTTGGTGTAAACACCATAAAAGCATGGATCCATCCTGCCTTGTCTTAACCGTTCAGGCTGGCGGTGGTGTAATGGTATGGGGGATATTTACTCTGTGCATTTAGTGCCACTTAGTACCATTTGAGGATAATTTAAACTGCACAACCTACTGGAGTACTGTTGCTGACTGGGTCCATCCAGTGTTCTGATGGCTGCTTCCATACACCATATCACAAAGCTCAGATCATCTCAAACTGGTTTTCTTGAACATGATAATAAGTTCACTGTAGTCAGGTGACCTCCACAGTCACCAGATCTCAATCTAATAGAGCTTTTTGGGGATGTGACATTACGGGAGATCCATGTGATGAATAAATCTGGTCAATATGGATCAAAATCTGAGGAATATTTCCTGCACCTTCTTGAATCTGTGCTGCAAAGAATTATGAAGAGTTCTGAAGACAAAAGTGGGTCTAACTGGGTACCAGCAAGGTGTAACTAATGAAATGGCCTGAATACATACACCCAGGGGTGAGGATAAGAATATAAATCAAACATCAACAGTTTTGCTTTCACACTCAGGTCTCTTTTTACAACTATCCATCCAACCCACCAGTCCATCTTTTCGTCTGTCTGCTGACGCCTCGACTTCAAGGTCAAAGGTTTAAAGGATATGTTTGTGCCTTGGAAGTCACACAGACTCCTGAGACTGCCAGTAATACCCATCCATCCAGATGTGGAGCCTTCAGGCAGGCTGTCCATTTACCTATTGTTCTTGTCTGAGCCTGAGTGCAAACCTTACACGTTTAGTGTATTTGGAGACTGAGCCAGTGGAGCGTTAAAGCTGTTGTCAGTCTCGCTCTTTATTTAAACTCGGGCTGGCAGACGCGTCTTCACGCTGGCATCTCATAACAGCTTAGGGGTTTTTTTCTTCCTTGAAGGCATCTTGGTTTAAAGTTTCAGATACTTTCTAACCTGTAGAGGCTTGAGACAGGTAATCTATCAGAGTCACAGAGTTGGCATGTCATTGCTGGGGCTTTACAGGCTCATAAATGCAAATATCAGAGAGAAGTCTTTAAATCAAGTCTCCACTATTTTTCTCTTGCGTGTCTCGTGCTGCTTCTCCAACTGTAAGCCTGATAAAATCAGATCAACAGGTTAATGCAGGTGTGTCAAACATAAGGCCCAGGGGCCAGAATCGGACCGTGAAGACTCCAATCCAGCCCATTTTTTTGGAAAATGTGAAGGAGGGCATACATTTTGGACTTTTAACTGTACTCTTTTAACCCAAAGGCCACTGATACTACACCAAGGTACATTATAGATTTCTGTACAATGGGTCATCCTGACATTTCTTCTACTTACTACAGCAGCATTTCTTTATAACATAGAAAAACTGAGATAAACTGTTGAAATTGTGCTTCTTTGTCTCATATCTCAGGATTCATATGTGTAGTTAGACTTTTTTACACTGACAGTGATCAGAGTTTCACCGGTCTGGCCCACATAAGAAAGTGGGGCTGTATGTCGCCCTTGATGTAAAATGAGTTTGACAGATTTATTATTTAGCTCTTAGTTTCTCCTGAGGTGGCTTTCATGAGGTCAGAATCCAGGAAGATTATTATTATTATTATTTTATTTTATGCAACAAAAAAGAAACTACCAAGAAGCTTTGGGGCTAAGATTTTGTTAAAGTCTATATCTGTCTACAATTTCAGTCTCTTAAACTCTCTGGCAAGGTTTCAGAGGTTTAGATTTAATAATAAAAGGTGCCTCTGTGTCTTTTGGCCCTAATGCCCTCATTTTAGCCCTAAAAGGTTGAAAGTTGGCGCAAGAGGCTTTCACTGATCCAGCATGATCATGTGTTTCATCTGTGACAGATGGATGCCAATTAAAATGCACTAAAAGAGAAATGTTTAAATTGATTTGTGTTCTGTTCGAGCTGTTCTGGACCCTCTGTGGTCTTGGATCCTGTGACTGTGTGAACAGCGGCCACGGCAGAAAATCGAATGATAAGTTAATTCATTTTCCTGATTTGATTTTTCTAACCGCGGCATGTCCTCCTGCTCTGTACAAGACCTGCTTGCTGATGGTTGCTGTTTTGTCTCTTTTTCACTGCCATCACATTCAGAATCAGGTCAAGTTCAGTGTGAACTGATTTCTTCCTCAGTCAGCTGCCATTAGGGGTCAGCAGAGCTCTCTGCATTGCTTCACCTTGTGTGCGGAGGTGGTGGAGGGGCCGCTGGTCCACGGTGATATCATTTTCCATCAGTTCCTCTACCTCCTCGCAAAAGACAGCAGCCGCCGAACAGATGAGGTGGTGAGGAGGAGGAGGACAAGGGGGAGGAGGAGATTTTTTCCACTACCACACTTCACCTCCGGGCGACCGCATCTGGAAAGACAATATCTCCAGAAAAGAGGTCATCAGTCAGATTCAGCCTAACAACAGAGTGCCAGTGATTCCTGTCTGGACAGCGGCTTACAACATGCAGGGAGTGCAGCGTGTGTTCATGGAACGTGTGTTACACAAAGATCGCTTTTAGTTCCATTACATCCAAACAGCCCCCACAAAAATCTCCCCCCGCTACTGCACTGTTGGAGCAGGTTATCACATAAGCATGAATTGTTGATCGGTGACGAAACTGTCAGTGACATCCAAACACTGAGAATTGTTTTGGGTTTTTTTTAAAAAAAAAAACCTACTCTCCTTTTCCCCCGACTGACAAATGTTTCTCTCGGTTGTCAGGATAAAATGCGACTGCGTCACTGGTCTGCGGCTCTGGGAGCAAAGCTGCCAAACAGACGTCCCAGTATTCCCAGCATCTGCTCCGGCACAACATCAGCGAGCTGCTGAGGGATAACCAAACTGTTTTCTTTAAATGACAGTTTGAGGTCCAGACTGTTTTCCTTCATGCGAGCATGACAGTTTGACAGATGTTACGTAACTGACAGCTGCTGGGATTCACGCAGGCTGCAGAAGTCTGTGTCGAGATTTTGATTTTGTCCATATTGGAGGGAAAAAAAAAAAGCCAAATCGCTGAATAAACTCACCCAAATTCTCTAAGACAGATGTTGAAAATTTTTTGCTGAACTTTAAAGTTTGCTGATGAGAGTAAAACTGTTTTTCAGTTTTAAAGTCTTCACAGCATCCAGGTCCGTGAGTATCTAGTTGAACAAAACTGTTAGCTTAGCATGGTCTGCTGTTTTCAGAGGCTCAGGAGTAATCAGACAATTCACTAAAGAGTCATGGCCAGGTGAGGCCTGCTAACCCCTAACCCTTGTTATGCGAAATTAAGCAGGTAAGCAAAGCTGCAAAAACTGCAACTCTGTCTGAAGACACGAGACGCGATTGAGTGGCGGCTCTGTCTGCGCTGCAGCTGAGAATAAAGTCAGCCAACGTGAGTCTGAAAGGATGAAACAGGTTCTAATGAAAATGTTCAGACTGTTTGTGGCATCAACATGAAAGCTGCGGACAAATGTCATACACGAATCGCCATCTGTGGAAGCTTCTTCTCCCCCGTTCAGCTGTCACTGCCGACATTAATCTGCCTTTGTTCTGTTAATTCATAACAAATGAGCGGCAAAGCGCTCGGAGAGGCCTGGGAGGAGAAACACGGCGTCTGCATGAAGAGGAACGATTCAGTGCGTATGTACGTTACAGACCCTTCATTTGTCCAACTATGGTTGGCGTTACATCCTGTAATGGCACGACTTATATTAACATTAGATTCAGCAGCCATGACAGAAATAAGTTCTCCAAACACATGCCGACACTTCTCTGGAATGTCTTTCATTCGCTGCGTGTTTTTATTCTGTTTTAATTTATTGTTAGTTTGAAGGATGATGTCTACAAGAAAAGGAGGAAAATATTGTTCAATGTTTGTTTTCAGTTTGCTTAAATATTCATTAAAGCTTCTTTCATGTTTTATTGCCACTATGGTCTGAGGAGTTACATCTTATACATAATAAAAAGAGAACCAGCTGTCAGAACTCCAACTCCATGTGAGAAGAGCGCAGCCATCGAATGTAAGTGCTTTTTAGGGGTGACCAGCTGACCCAACAGTGACCATGCACCAACTGTCACTTACTGCTCTCCACAGTGAGAGCGAGTGGTACTTAGGGTCACTTAAAGTTGTTTCTCACTGTTTGACCTGGCAATTAGTTCACTGTGAACTAATTGCCAGGTCAAACAGTGAGAAACAACTTTTTGCACTAATGGTCAACTCTAAACTCCAGAGAGAGGCTGGGGCTGAGCAGGAAGACTGAATCCGAACCTACCTGCAGTAATCAACCTTTTAAGTACAAGCTAGTAAAGATATATAGTACTGTGCAAAAGTTTTAGGCAGGTGAGGAAAAAATGGTGTAAACAGAGAATGCTTTCCAAATTTTTCAGCAATCAACAAAATTCAGTGAATGAACAAAAGAGAAATCTAAATCAAATGAATATTTGGTGTGACCACCTTTTGCCTTCTTGTAGGAACACTTGCACACAGTTTTTGAAGGAACTCGACTGGTGGTTGTTCCAAACATCTTGGAGAACTAACCACAGATCTTCTGTGGATGTTGGCTTCCTCACATCCTTCTGTCTCTTCATGTAATCCTAGACACACTCAATGATGTTGAGATCAGGGCTCTGTGGGGGCCATACCATCACTTCCAGCAGTTCTTGTTCTTCTTTACGCTGAAGATAGTTTTTAATGACTTTGGCTGTATGTTTGGGGTCGTTGTCCTGCTGCAGAATACGTCTGGGGCCAATAAACAATCATTTCTATTTATGAAAGCACTCTTTGTTTACAGCATTTTTTAACACCTGCCAAAAAGTTTTACACAGTACTGTAAATACACATACAATTTAAGAACAATATGTATTATACAATAGATTTAACATTTCTCTGGAAATGACCAAACATAAATTATGCTTTTTCATTTAGTCCATGGTGCCCGTCTCAATCTTGATCTTTGTCTTTGAACTACAGAACACAGCGTGTTCTTTTGGAGGCCGGCACAAACAAAAACTAAATTGTGTTCACACGCTTGTGATATTGATAATACTAATATTTATAGTATTCAATTATTTGGTGACTGGACTCCAATGAACCGTTCTAGCTGAAGGTAGTCCTAGCAATAAAGAATTGGAACAGGTCCCGCACACCCCGGTTCTTATTTTACGAAAGCTCAGTGGGCGACTCTGGTACAGCACAACCTTTTTATCTGACGGGGTATTCAGAAAGCAAACCAAGGAACACTAAATATTTTACTCATGTGCGGGAGAAGAGCTGGGAATCAGTATTGGTTAAAATAAAAACATTTGTTTCTAAAGACAGACCGGGGTAATGCCAGTGTCACAAGAAACAAGGCAAAACCGCAAAATCTCAATCCTCACATGTACAACCTCTTCCTTCCTGAATTCTTCCTGAGTTTTCTTTTTTTTCCAGCGAGCAGACAGACCTCCGCTGTGAATTCACCAGCACAGCTCAGCTCAGCTCTCTGAAACAGCTGAGGCTTTATTTCTTCCACCTTTTTCTTCCCAGACTGTCCCTGGAGGCTATTTTTTTCCCCCTCTTTATCCAGTCTGACCAACCTCCAAAACTTTTCAACAACTTCACTTATTGTCTCTGTCGTATTGTCGGTCCTCCCTCAGCCCAGTGCCAGATGATTTGGTATTTGATATGCCAGATGAGCTGGCTCATAGCTACTTAAACTAAGATGGTTATGCAACGCGTCAGCGGGCCAGCGTGGGCACAAAAGTCTATTTTTTAGAGGCACATGAGAAAAGAAATAGTATCCAACGGCATTAATGGATCATTTTAAGATTACTTCAACATGGAGTACTTACTTGAAGTTTTGACTTGTATTGAGCGGCTTCACTGTGATATGGTCTTAACCAGTTGGTGCTTTGACATGCTTTAATAATAAAACTATCCTGGATAATATTTTTTAATGTCTCATCTAAGTCTTCAAACATACAACTTCATATTAGTATAAAAAATTCAACAATCTTTCTGGAATTTTACCATTTAGTCAAACAAAATAAGTAATGTTTAATTATTACCATTGTGATTTGGCTTTATGTTGGTAAATGGCCAGTATTTGTATAGCGCTTTACTAGTCCCTAAGGACCCCAAAGTGCTTTACACAATCAGTCATCCACCCATTCGTTCACACACTGGTGATGGCAGCTACATTGTAGCCACAGCCACCCTGGGGCGCACTGACAGAGGCGAGGCTGCCGGACACTGGCGCCACCGGGCCCTCTGACCACCACCAGTAGGCAACAGGTGAAGTGTCTTGCCCAAGGACACAACGACTGAGGTCCAAGCCGGGGCTCGGACCGGCAACTTTCCGATTACAAGGCGAAGGGTCACAAATGCAAATGGCCAAAATTAGTTTTCTCCACTGGACGTCTGGCCTCGGCTTCCCTGTGTGTCCACACCAAACATAAAGCAAGGCTTCACCCTGCGTTACTCACTCGTGTCGGATAGACATGAATATTTGCAGGACAAGTTGAAGTGCAACCAACAGCTGGAATTAAGATACAGAAACATTGTGAGGACTTGAAGTGAAGTTGAATCATATTTCTCCAGCTGTCAATAAAATGACTGCAGCTTCACATCAGCCGGAAGGAAGAAGCAAACTGTCAGAGTCAGTTTGCCTCTTTGCATGGACTTTGTACAGTGCTTAACAAATTTATTAGACCACCTCTCATAAAAACAAGAACACTGAAATATTTTAGAAATCTGTCAAACGTGTTTAAAACAAAAAATGATTTTGTTATTAAGAAAATAACCTGAATTAATGTTTTTATATTTCAGTCTGATCCGGCACACTGGAATTAATCATGTGTAACATTCAACCAACTAAAACTGAATGTTATGTTCAGAAATGTAAATAAATAACAATAATTAGGCACTTTAGTGAAAAAAAGTGATTTATTTTTTTAATTACTTTTTAGTAAAACAATTTTACTAAAATTGTACTTTTTAGTAAAACAATAAAATTTTAATTCACGGATGACGACAACATTCATATTTTAGCATTCAAAACATAATTTTGATTGAGGAGCTTGCTCTCACTGGTGAATTAACCAGTGTGTAATAAGCAGTATTGTTATTTTACCCACTGGGGACATCATACATTGAGCCTGGCCCGGGATCTGAGGTCAGAATACTCTGCTTTGCTACCTGACTTCAGATAAACTGTTACACAAGTCTACAAATACCACCTACTACTTGCTTTCGAAGTATATTTTTCACACAAACTGATGGACTCAATCTATATCATCAAAACAAAATAAAGCTATACTAAACTTTCACAAGAGCCATTTTAGCCTGAAATAACATAAACTATTCCACATGATATCACTTCTTCTCAAACCAGTCAGAGATAGTTGTAAGTCTGAGTGAGACAAATCTGTAACATTTGTTATTGGAAACTTTTAACCAGGAATCCTAGATGATGTTTTCCAGACCATAACCAAGACCTCATCTTATTGGATAATAAACCTCAAAGTGAACAGACGCTTTAAAGTAGCAAGTGTGTTTTAAACAGCAACATGCATGGGTGGCAACGTAAAGGAAAATGCAAAAGAACAAGTTGTTCCCCCAGAGAAAAAAAAATCAAAACCTAAAATAGGTCACTGCAGTTGTTTTACTTTGCAAGGAGGAGGTTTTGCATCTCTTTGTCTCTCTGTCATCTCCTCGTAGATTGTGTTCTTTGTCTTTGTAGTAACCTTTGCAACTCTTTGTATTCATTATGTTTCTTCTTAGTTGTTTTTTTTTAAATGTCTGTAGAGTTTGCAAGCACACTCAGTTAAGACTTAAAAGATGACTTGCTACCGTGGTCTCGCCCATTGATCGGCAAAGTCCATATTTAAAGATGTGTATGAAGCCCGTGCTAAAGCACCTTAAACTTGCACGTCACATAGAAGTCTGAAAACCTGAGCATCTCCCTTGATGTGGGACTTCATTAAACACGTTCATGATGACGATCTAGGTCGGTAATTTCAACCATAACTTACTAAAGCATGATGTCTGTGTAGCGTGGTGGAAACACCAAAGACCCAAGGTTTGCATAAAACTGTGGTCCCCAGTAAAATAAAAGAAGATAATGCAGGGTATACCTTAAGGCAGTGGTTCCCAAACATTTTTTGCTAGGCCCCCTTTGTTTTACAAGAAAAAGGTTCATGCCCAAAATCACCGAAAACTGAGATTTTTTAAAACTCCGTTTTTGCATTTACGTGTGGACGAGGAATACAGAGTTCGTCACGCAACGTCAAAGGTATGTGCCTTTTTTCACGTCACGCTGTGCGCCACGTTATTGTTTACATGAGATGAATTGCAGAATAGCAGATAGATACAAAATACTGTTACTGTTGATCTTACTATCTTCAGGTTTTACACTCTTACATATACACAGGCAGTTACTGTCCCTCCATTTAGAAAGGCAGAGGCGTCATGGTGTAATTATTGTACGTGTAGTTGTTTTTTCCTGTGTAATAATATTCAACATTGCTATCAATACATTTTTCAAAAATGCCTCTCTGTGCAAAATGGGTTCTCGGTGATTCGAAACGCCGTTTACGTGTGGACGAAACAGCTGCGTTTTCAAAAATAATAACAGCAGCCAGGTTTACCACCATACTATAATAAAGTGAGTAGCAGTAACTGACCATATAACTGCAACTGTTTGGATCCACAAAAAATTGGACGTTAGCTATAACTATCTGATTTATCAAATGTCCTTTGCTGGGCAGTCTTCACCTCTGAAAGTAATCTCTTGCATGTCTTTCTCATCTTCTCTTTCATATGTCTTTTTCTCTGGGGTGGGTTTTTCACACATTTCTTTCCCCTTTCTCGCTAGAAATAAATTGCTTGCTGATAAATTGTGCTGCAAGTTTGTTATATTTACTGATCTGTTTGAAACT